AGGCCTCCAGGCATCCTGCTGAACACTTCAGCTCAAGGTTGCCTGTTAATGGGTAATGATAAGAACTCATCCCTTGCATTTTAATGGGTGTGACAAAATCAGGCAGAAGTACTGCAAAAAATAACTTGAAATATAGGGGAGTGATCGTATTTTAATGCCTGGTAGCTGCAGATGTTCAAATTACTGTAATGCTATTAAAATGAGTAGCTATTAATACACAAATATTTCAATGACACACAAAAGCAGAGTCAAAAAAAACAACCCTGAAATAACAAAAAAACTAAAATTGCCTGTTTATTTGAATTAGCCTTCAATCACTTCTTTCTAATGGGCAAAAGGCTGCACATCTGACAGCACCACTCTCATTGCTCTCCCTCCCGAGTTCATAGATTGCTTTTATGCCTCCATCTACCTATATGTGAAATCATTTCCCCATTTTAATTTTCTTTCTCTGTGATTTCAAGATATTGTATATCAGTTTGCACTCGCTGGGCACTTAACCTTCCTATTATAATTTCCTTTCTGTGCGATGCTCTCCAGCACAATTGCACATAATCCACTTTCTTTGATGGGTTTTGGAACAGTCACTGCGGCCTGCTGCAGGTCCTGCCTGCTTTAGGGACATTTGCATCCACAGAACACCTCTGGGGTTATTACAGAGGTGTGAACCCTTAAAGCAGGCTCCATCAGAGCAAAGAGCCTTCCAGTGCTGCAGTTTAATCCAGCCATAGAATTAATTTCCTTAATACAGACAGGGCCTCTCATTAAGCCTTCCCCTTCCGGCCCTTCCCTCCTGCTGCTCCCAACACCAGTTGCACTCACTGTTTATTAGCACCAGCAGCAGCAGCTCATGGAGGCAATGAAATGGGAATTTTAAGGTGCTTGGTGATTTAATCAATTGGGCTCGATGCCAAAAGAAGTGTTACCATTGAATTCAGTGAAATTGGACCAGAGCTGGGCTGGCTGCTTCTGAGAACAGAATTATTTTAAGATAATGCCTCCCAGGCCTGTGGAGAGCAGGTTTATCCAAAGTGGGGGCAAAATCCAGCTGACCATGGGCATGAGGAGCATGGCTGATGGTGGGGTCAGTGTTGGTGACCACAGCCCAGGCAAGGCAGTGAATGCAGCTTATCCTGGAGCACCACCACATCAAGGAATCTCCCCTTGGCTGGTGATACAGACATTAAAAAAAAACCAAAACCCAGTTGTTACAGCTGACCTCACTCTTGAAAGAGATGCACAATCTCTTAACTGTGCCTGCAGATCAAGGCCTCAGATTAATTGGTATCAGTGTCAGCTTAAGGAGGGAAGCGTCATTTAAAAATTAGGAAGATTAAATTGACATTAAGCACTTCTCTTTAAATGAGAATCCCATAAGTATAACTGCAAAGAGTTAATTTTATACTAATTTAACTGCATCCAAAGTTTCCTGTAATTTGTGCATATATTTTTGCCATTGACACTATTATGGCCTGGAAGTGTGATTGGAAAAGGTGGGCTGCTCTAACCTTTACACCTAGAAGGACTGATAACTAAATCTACAACATGTTTTAAATTTATTTTTAATATTCTACTTTCTCGTGGCTGCTTCAGTTAATTGAAACTGATAGTGATTGTCAGTGGTAAGACCAGACTAATGGTCCACTGAGCCCCATTGACAAGATCTCACTTTGGCAATATCCTAGAGATGTTTTACAAACCAAGTTCAGCTTAAGCTTGAGATGAGTTACTTGGTATTTCTGCCAGTAGTAAGAGAAACTCTTCAAAAGCTGAAGCAGCTGGGAGAAAAGCCCTGACTGATTTTTTTTTCTGGAGGAATTTACAGTGTGTCTGAGTCTGCTTGTTACTGGTGGCTAAATTCCCATCTAAAATTTGAAAAACTAGGTTTGTCAAAGCAGGACACAAAAGTTATATGGGCAATCCACGTGGTGAAAACACCAACATGGAAAAATTGCTTGCAAGTGGACACAGCAACTAAAGCAGAGAGCAGTGAGAGGGTGCAGCTAATAGGAGCAAGAGTTCAGCTGATAGTTTAGGTCTACACCAGCTGCCATCAGGATGGACAGGGTTAACCCAGGTCTTCAAAACAAATTATTAATTGGGAAGTTTAAATGTGATCTTCATGTACCTGCTTACACCTGTGCAGGGCTTTTTTTCCCCACTTTCATTCTTAGGGAGCATTAATTAGACAACACTAGAGTAGAAGCATTGCTGCTCTTCACATGTAATTTCAGAGAGCTGTCGACAGTGATGTCTGAATGACAAGTGGAAATGAAAAAAAATCATTAGCTGGAAGGAGCATGAGACTGGCAATTAAGTTGTTATTATTGAATGCGAATATTGCAATGGGTTCAGAAGCCCCAGATGGCAGAAGGGCAGCACAGGCTCAGGGGCTGTGTGAAAACGTTCCAGGTAACCTCAGAGAATTCAGTGTCTGCAGATTGCTTCCCTTCAGTAAGTATGTGGTGATACTGCAGCTTTGCTGTGTTTTCTGAAATGAATACAGCAAAAGTACTTACAAACCCACTATTTCTGCATGCCTGGGCTGCTGGAAAATAAGTGAGGGGAAGAGTGGGATTCGTCCTTTTTAACTTGCCATCTTAAAGATTAGAGTCATCTTTTCAACCTCACAATCTCATAAAGTGGCTCTCTGACAAATTTAAAATAAAAGCATCTTTTATGTGGCCTACCTTGATACCTAAGATAGGAATTTGAAGTCCTTGACATAACTGAAATTGAAAAAAATATATTAGTTGGCCAAAGGAGTCCAAAGACGAGGCTGGGCTGGAGGTAACAAAGGACACCAGGCAAGGCAAGCTGCAGGATGCATTTTCAAAATTGACCAGCCTCTGCGGTTGGTCAAGCATAAAAATACAGGCTATCCTTCTCCTGCTGGCCTTGCACAGCTAAAGCTGCTATTTCCATGTGGAGAGCTGTGCCACAGGTCCCTGACCTTGTCAGCTCTCCCAAGACTCAGGTGTTGTGAGTACGTGACCAGCAGAGCTCTGAGGAGGCCAAATCTGCATTTGGGGTTTTCTCTTGCCCCCTGCTCAGCCACTGCCCCACAGAGGAGTTCAGAGCCACCACGCTCCTGCCTGAGCTGGGGCTTGCTGGGGAATTAAGGCTTTACCCCAGTCCTAGCTAAGGCTTTGTGCAATGATAACGGAAAGTTAATATTATCTTCTAGGCAAAAGCCCAAAGTGGAGTTTCAGAGATGTGCTGGAGTTATCAGACTGTGCTATATCAGCTCCAAACAGGCTGAGAACAGCCTCCTGCTCCGTGCCAGGGCTGAGCTGGACCTTGCTGGTACAAATCTCTGTGCTCAGCCCATGGTAACTCATTAAATCCCTGTAATTCTATCATCTCTACGAGTCCCATTTGATCACACTCTGCCAATTAAAAATGCATCTTGTTTTCCTGAGATAATTTATTTTTTGACATCCCTTCCTCAGACCAGTGCCACATTTCATTACAGAAGTGGCTACACTTCTGTGCTGGACATTTCTTAATTATAGACCTGCACATGCATGGAAAAGTAAGGACATCTCTTCAGGTCAGGGCTCCTACACCAAGGCTGGGCCAACAGATGCTGTGTCAAGTCTCTGCCATCCCCAGAGGAGATGTCATTGTTTCTCAGCCAGCACATTTCAATAATTCATGACACAACTGGACAGAAAGGGAAGTGGAGGTGGCAGTGACTTAAATCTTATTCGCTGAAGAAGCAAATTGTTTTCCTCACATCCTTCCTCCTTATGCCATGACAGCAAAGCATCACCACCCTGCCCAGAACCTCTGTGTACAAAAGGACAGCCATCAAGTCCTTTCTCCCTTCTGGGAAGGTCCCAGCACAGGAGGGACCTGGAGCTGCTGCAGAGAGCCCAGAGGAGGCTCCAGGAGGAGCAGAGGGATGGAGCAGCTCTGCTGGCAGGAAAGGCTGGCACAGCTGCCATTGTTCAGCCTGGCCAGGAGAAGCTTTGGGCTGAGCTCAGGGTGGCCTTGCAGGGCCTGAAGGAGATGCAGGAAACCTGGAGAGAGAGACAATTGCCAAGGGATGGAGGGACAGGACACAGGGAATGGCTCCCACTGCCAGGGAGCAGGGATAGATGGGATATTGGGAAGAAATTCCTGCCTTTGAGGGTGGAAGGCCCTGGCACAGGTGCCCAGAGCAGCTGGGGCTGCCCCTGGATCCCTGGCAGTGCCCAAGGCCAGGCTGGACAGGGTTTGGAGCAGCTGGGACAGTGGGAGGTGTCCCTGCCATGGCAGGGGTGGCACTGGGTGGGATTTAAGATCTCTTTCCACCCAAACATTCTGTGGTGCTATGATTGACTCACATCAACACTTCACTGTGGCTCTGAAGACAAAGTCCCTGGCAAAATTCTACTTCAGCCGAGGCACAGGGAGCTAATGCACACTTTATTATAACACACACTTCATAGTGCTCTGGGATGCTGGAGGATAATACGGGCTCAGGAAATTTAGTACTATCTGCTACCAAAAAAAAAAAAAAAAGGGACTTAAAGGAATTCTGCTCAGCATTAATTACACCACACAGCTCTAATGCTGAGATCAGCCAGAGCCAGATCCAATAAAACCTCCATCCGGCTCCTGCACAGCGACCTACGTGAACCTGACTCTTTCCCTGGGCTTCCAGCCCAGAAACGAGTTGGAGTTTTTATTTAAGCCGTAACGCCTCAACTTTCCCCGGCAGCGCATCCACCCTGAGCGGGTGGGTCCAGCGGGGCTCTCGGGGGAGCATCCCCGGCGCCGGCGGGCCCGCTGTGTCCGAAGGGGCTGGGCCGGGCTGGATCGGGCTGTGCCGGTGTGCCGGGCTGTGCCGGTGTATCGGGCTGTGCCGGTGTATCGGGCTGTGCCGGGCTGTGCCGGGCTGTCCGGCCCCGGGGCGGGGAGCAGCCGTGAGGGGCGGTGGGCGGGAGATCGCGCCGGGCCCGCCCCGCCGCCGGGAGCGCGGCCAGCGCCGCTCCAGAAGAGGCGCCGGGAGCCGCGGGAGCCGCAGGATTACGGCGCTGGCTCCGCGGGGAAGGGCAGCGCTGCGGCGGCTGGAAAGGCTCGGCTGCAGGTGGGCAACTTCGGGGAACAAAGTTGGGCAGCGGCCGAGGGGAGCGCCGAGCATCCCTCGGGGCAGCCGGGCCGGGGGAGCGGGAGCCGGGGACACGGAGGCGGCTCCGGTGCCGCGGGAGGGTCCCTGTCGGGCTCGGGGGATGCAGCGCCAGGCACGGGCGCTCGCTACGTGCCGCTGCCCACCCGGGTGATCCTCGCTGGTGGCATCTGCGAGGCTCCCCGCCTGCCTGCAGGGAGCTGCTGTCCCCCCATCCGCCTGTCCCGGGGACGAGGGCTCCGCCAGGCGTCCGTGGCTCCCCCGAGGGCTGGGGATGCGCCCCGGCTCTGGCGGCACCGGAGCGTGCGGCTGCCGGCGTTCTGAGCCTTTACACGGGCTTTGCGCTTTTCTCCCCGCCTAGAATTGTTCTGAGTCTGGAGTTGCTCAAGTTCTAAAGCCGGGCGGCTCTGGCTTTGCTTTTAATTAAGTGCTGATTGTCTGAAATGCGAGACGGCACGTACGGGAGCTCGCCCCCAGCTCTGATGATGGGGATCTGGCGAGTCGGTTTTGAAACAACCCCCGCACCGTGCCAGTGAAGGCTCGTGGAAAAGCTTTTCCCTTTTCCTTTCCACTGAGAATTTCGTCCTTTCTGCCCGTCCCTCGCGGCCGTTCGGGTTTGAGGGAATGCTGGCGATCGCGGAACTTTGCCGTCAGCCGGGGCAGAGCAGAGCGAGCTGGCCGCGAAGTTTCAGCGGTGCCTCGGCACAGCCGCTGCCTCCGCTCCCCGCAGCAGCCTCTGCAGGGCTCTGCTGCTCCTTCTCCAGCCGCTGAGCTGCCTTCCCCCTCGTAACTTTATGTTCGAGGTTCGTACCCGGCTGGGTGCGAGCTGCTGGTGTCCCCAGCATCCTGATGTGTGACCTTGTTCCGATCCGGCGTGGTGCCTGGCTGTGCTTAACCCAAATCCAAAGCAGCATCTTGTTGGACGCGTCGGAGGGAGATCAGCCCGTTCCTGATGGGGAATGATCCAGCAATAGCCTTGGGTGGGAATTGGTTAGTCAGGAGTACCTTACTGGTGCCACTGCCACACTCACAGAATCATCATTGATTTTTAGCTGTCCTCAACGTGAGTGTTTCACACGAGAGGAAAGAATGTCAGTATTTTTATTGTGAGTGCAAAAATCAGTACCAAGACCTTATGAATGACAAGAAACTCTCCAAAGTATTGACTGCTGTATTTTGCAAGAGAAACTCGAACTCTAGCTTAAGCTGCATGTCAGGCTTGATCAGTGACGTATTTTGTAAATCTGTGTGGGAAATTATGAACAAAATACTAAAATCAGGAATGGAAATACTGAACTTGTAAGCACTGGAAGTGTGTTACTACCCCATGTGGAATTGTTCCAGAAAGTTGTTTATTATGCAAGAGACTTCCCATAGTAATGTGGCAAATGCATTTGTGAAAGCATTTGAGGGGAAGGATTGGTGAAGGTGTTTAATTCTTGCCAAAATTGGGGCTGCAGGTGAAGACACAGAGTGCTGTGAGCTCTGTCCTGCCAATCTGGCTCTTCCCTGTTCCTCAGGGCTCCCGCAGCATCCACGCTGCTTCTCCTTCTCTCTCTTTCTCTAGCATTGCCTTGCGCTGCAGGGGATGGATGAACTGCAGGTTTGGAGCTGGAAGCAGTGGCATTTTCTGGGAATAAAGCAGTGGGAGGTGCTGCTTGGAGTACAGGGTCTGGCAATGGCTGTGGGGTTTTTCCAGAGTGGGTTTTGTGGGTGGCACCTCAATGAATAGAACAGGTAGGGGTTGTCTAGGTGATCTGAAGCTTGTTTTTTTTTCTGTGTTAAGCAAGTTAAACCACTGGATTTTGGGGGTTTGGAGCTGTTGTGGGGTGGTGACTCCTGTAGCTCTTGGCACTCGCTCAGCTCCAGTGCTGGTGACCTAAGTTGGGGTCTTGTCCAGAAATCCGAGCATGCATCCAGCTGGCTGCACACCCTGCAAATCCTGGAGCTGGATGTGAAATACAGACCTACCAAAACAACTTGTTCTTTAAACTCCTAAAGACCACGTCACTGTAGCTAAGGAGCGATGCCATATTTTCCTGTCACTTTGCTATAATGCTTCTGTTGGAGTTTCCACCCACAAACAAATGCTTCCAACCACTTGTGCAGGGGTGGTTTTGGTTGTTTGTTTTTTCCTGAGCTAGCCTCGCTGTCTTTGATGTTGTTTATGTTTATATTCTTGTGGTGTTTCTTGTGGGAATTTTCCCATTGCAATACCACAAGCACATCTTAATGTTATTGTGATACAGCAAAGGGAGGTTTCTGCAAATAGATTCAATCTTTTTACTCTTCTTCCTGGAAGAGGCTGAGTCTTACAAGTGACATAAGCCAGTGGTTTTATATGTATGGAAGTGATTATCAGGATTTACTTTGATACCAGAAGACACAGATTAACTGCAGTTGCAAACAAGATTTTTAGTGCATTCACAGCAGAGTGTCTGAGGAGCCAGCAAGCCTGCAGGGACAGGGAAGTTGTTAGTGATGAGGAATGACTGGGGCTGGAGGTGAGCATCCCTCCTGACTTTGGATGACTTGAGAAATAATTACAAGCCTGCTCTTGGTTTACTAGAAAATCAAGGAAAATGGGAAGTTTGTGCATCTGTAAAGGAATTTTTCATCCTTCTTGGTGCTCAACTTGGAGCTAAATCTGTCTTGTGCTGTCAGATCCATAACCTCCCAGCTCGTGTTGGGAAACAGGGAACAGTGGATTAGAGTCCCCTGGGTTGGATGCACATTGAGCACTACTGGAGACACAAGTGATGAGAAGTGACTTTTTCAAGGGTCTTGTGTGATGCAAGCGTTGCTCGAGGTCCTGTTGTGCATGGGTGATGTCAAGATGGATTAAAGGACAGGATACTCTGAAATTGAATTTTGTTAGAAGAAGTTTAGGAACTTAATGTTTTGGTTCTTCAAAATGGAATGTGCCACAGGAACTGGCTCTGGAAATGGACTTGCCTTGGTGCTCTGTTGCTGCTGTCCTTAAAATATATCTGCAGTGACAGCAATTCTTGTCCCAGGTATTTTTGTTTGGTTGTTTTGTTTTGCAGCTCTACAGCTGAAGTTTCCCTCTCTCAGCGAAACCAGGGATAGTTCAGTCAGTGATTATCCCATCGAAAAACAACTGGAATGCAGAGAAATGAAATTGGAAGAGCTGTAGTTCCCTCCTGTGCCAACATCTCCACCTTGGATTTAGTGAAGCTGTTTAGAATTGTAGCCCAGGCCTTTCAGTGGAGATTTGATGGTCCACAATTGATAGGATGTGGTGTAGGAAAATGAATTACAGGGAAAAAAATTAAATCATTATCAGTGATACCTTGTAATGTGTCTTAATCAGGAAAAGATTAAGTAAAGGCTGCAAGTTTGCATAAGCTGAGGAGTACTTTTCTGATTCAGAGCTCAAAAAGCCACACAGTTCTCTTGTCCACTGACTGATGAAAACCAGATCAGAGTTGATGGCCTTTTAAACAGAAGCGTATCCAGGAGAGCACTGTTGGGGCAACGAAAGTGGGAAGAGGGGAAAAAAAAATCCTTTGAGCTTTGACTACAGTCTAGTGAAATTTACTGTATATAGATTTATTTTTTTTCTAATGTGCTGTCCAATACAAAGAAAATACTTGATACAGAGTGAGTGGAAGTGGCAGGAGTTCAAAAATCTTATGGATTCTCAGTCTTCTTGACTGAGTGAAGAGTGAGGGTGGTGGGCAGCTGATGAAATAATGGAGTTACCTGGTATTTAATCAGTGTAAAGTTGAAATCTGCGTGTTGAAATTTGGTGTGAGAAAAATACCAGTTGAAATGCAGGTCATAGTGTTTATAGCACTGGCTTTATTTTTAAAGAGCAATTAGTTTTATACCCCTAAATTTCACTTTTTAAATGTAATAAAGTATAATAATGTTTCTTAAGTAATACTTTCATTTGGCATAACTGATGTGGGAATTTTTCCTAAATTATAACATCCAGGTATTCTTCTCCTGAAAAATTAATCTGTTGATTAATATAAAGAATAATTAACTGACAAAGGTGTTGCACTTCCAGCTGGGGGAAGCAGCAGTGGGAGCTACTGAAGTTGTGCTCAGCCCTGGCCAATCCCACCTGCAGCTCCTGCTCTTCTGGAGAAACTCATTTAATGGGAACAGCCAGGGTTTGAAACCTGGACATGTATTTTAGTTTTTTTTTCTTAATCCTGATTGCACACAGGAGGAACTTTATCTGTGTTGGACTGAATCATGGGGTGTTTAAAATCTGGACTGCAGAGCTGCCAGGCTGGGGGGCTCCAGAAAACCAGGCACGGCCATGTGGGCTGCGGAAGGCTTTTTTTGAGTAAGTGGTTCAGGTAAAAGGAAGAGAAAAGCAGGGATGTTCTGGGAGGTTCTTTTTGTCAGCCAGTTCCTGGTTGCTGGAAAATACAAATAAAGCATTTCTGAGCTGCAGTTTGAGGGGGAAGCGCTGGCTGTGATGGCAAGGAGTGAATAGGTGTGAGCAGGAAAGAGCTGAAAAAAATCTTCATGCAAGGGAAATCTGACTTACAAGTCAGTGCCACCAACCTCCCTGAGAGCCTGGGGAGCCTTGTGCTCCCTGATGTGCTGCAATTCCAGCAGCTGAGGATGGAGCAGGGCTCCTGCAGGCCCCTCACCAGGTGTGTGAGCAGCTGTCTCTGCTTTCCTGATCCCAGCTTATTTGCAGAACGAGTCCAGAATGGCTAAACTCCTTCAGCTGTTACAGATTAGTCCCTGCACACCGGGTCTAAACGAAGAAAACTAAATAAAGCAGGTTTTAACCCTCCTAAGTCACTTGTCTAGTGCACAGAGGAAGCTGTGGAGTCCAGAGCTGCTCTGTGTGAGTGAGGGATGATGCACACAGCACTATGGGCAGCTCTCCTACCTGTTCCTATGGATCTATTCCTATATCCTGTTCCTTTGGTTTTGAGATACACAGTTGAGGAAAGACACACTTTGTACAT